TTTCAAAACCAAAACGAGAGGAATTAATTCCACGCAAGATTGTTTATTCAAAACACCGTTCAGTACCAGTGAGAACAACACTGAATCAGAGACAAAAAGCCCCCATTGAGAGTCAAAAACCCAAACCCCCTGCCGTCAGCCCGAGTCTCACCTGCAACTGCTACATGACTGACCGCATCTGCAACATCTGCTTGTCCAGGTACATGCTCTTAATCAAGTTACAGATTTTTATTTTTATAAAGCCTATTTTTAATCTTAATTAATATGCAAATTTCTAAGGCCTAGAAATTATCAAAACTATGCAGGAATATTTGCTGTTCTACACAATCTACTACATAATATTTTATACATTTTTAGCAAGTAAAAGTTATTTTAGTATAATTGTAAAAACCTTCAGGATGTGGTACCCTTTTAGCTGGGTACACTTTTAGGTCTTTTAGCTGTGCGATCTTTACTGATTTTTGTTTTTTAAGTAAATGTAGGCATAACTTTTATATTGTGTATATATAGTAGTTATATTGTATTTTATAGTAGTATTTCAAGATCCACACTTATTGGACTGAAGTAATTTAAGTTTACTTGATTATCTAAACATTGTGGATTATCCTCATTTTTTAGAAAAATCATGGCAACATTTTTTAGGTACACTTATTTGTACATCTCTCATTCAAATGGAAGCAGCTCAGACTGTCCAGAGGAGCACTCAACAAAGTGTTGCAAAGGGCAGGAGCCAACACAGAATTCCCAGTGAGTGAGACAATTTTTCAATATGCAGGAACCGCTGTGAGAAAGAAGTGCGTGTAATCATAATAATCTTTTCCTGTGCCTTAAAGAAATACACATTTTCAAGTGTATTTTTGTTAAGTACTTGATTATAACTGGAACTGTAATGTGTTATTTGAGATTACATTTAATTAAAAATGTATATAAATGCATGACATACAAGTTTCAACAGAAATAACATTAAAGTAGAATTTAGGTTTCCTAAAATGCTTGTTAGTACATTCAGCAGTATGCTTTATTTAATACATTCTCATTTAATTTGTATTAACATGAACATGCAGTTAGTTGTCTGAAAAAATTACATTCAGTTTGCATTTAAGTATATTCTTTTACAGTGTGTTATTTCACTGAGTACTTTCTTTTAGGTATGCTGAAGGGTACTTCCTTTTCTCAAGGGAATGAATGCTTGTTTTGTGACATTTGTAGATAACTTTATAACTGTTTATAAAAATAATTAAACCTACCTGATTCTCTTTTGTTTAGGGGATGTTGAGACAGACATTGCATACCTGTATGAAGTTCTGCCGCAGCTGTCTCAAATTTTTCGTATAATAGATAAAATTGGAGAAGGTTTGCCATTATATTTCTTGCTGCTTAAATACTGTATAATGGGATATCTTTGAATCCACTGAAATCACGTTTTTTGTTTTCCTTCTGCTGATTGACAAACCTTTAAGATCCTTTATTGTCATTTACAGGTACTTTCAGCTCAGTGTATTTGGCAGAGGCACAGATGACAGATGGGTCGAGAAGGATGTTTGCATTGAAACACCTGATCCCTACCAGTCACCCTGTGCGTATAGCCGCTGAACTCCAGTGCCTGACTGTTGCTGGGTGAGTGGTGAAAATATTTTGACCTATTACCATTTATTTTCATGTATTCTGGCATAGATACCTTGTGAGGAACAGTCTTGGGTTTCAGAGTTACAGTAGAGGATTTGTCAATTATATTTCCCTCCACAGAGGGAAAGAAAATGTGATGGGAGTCACATACTGCTTCAGGAAAGAGCATTACGTGGTCATTGTCATGCCATACATGGAGCATCAAACCTTTGTGGTAAGTGTCCACAGTATGTGCTTTTACCCCAAATAATGATACATCATAAATTGCTTAACCAGTACCCAAGATTTTACCCAAAAGTCTTAATTTCTTGTAGGATATTGTTGGCTCCTTGAGTTTTGAGGATGTGAGGCATTACATCTTCCACCTGCTCAAAGCCTTGAGACACATTCACAAGTTTGGCATCATCCACCGAGACATCAAACCAACTAATTTCCTGTTCAATCGACAAAAGAGGGAGTATGTATCTGATGTTCAAGTCTCTGTGGTTCTAGACTCTCTTCCTGAAACACATGTAATCACCACAGTTTCTTGCTTATTTAAGATAATGGTAACAATTGATTAACCAGCTAAATGAGTGTTAGATGATAGCAAAGGTAATCGTAATGTAATAGTGGGAGAAATTACCTTTAATATTGATATAACCAGTTTGGTGCTGAATATTGTACTTTCCTAATAATTTTTTCACCCTTGTGCTGTTTCAAACCCATTAGACTTTTGTTCGTCTTCAAAACACAGATGATTTTTATTGAAACCTGAGGTTTCTGTTGCTCTTTTCTTTTCCCGACTTGGATTAATCGATCAATATGGAAAAAGTTTACTAAGTCTTTTTGAAGTGTCAAAGTTTTAGATTTATAGACATTTATACACATAATAGTCTATTTATTGCAACTTTTGGGGTGAAGGGCTTGTAATCGAAATGTTACAATAACAACGTTACAATATCAGTTTAGGAAGGCATTCGAATATTTTCTTGGACCAAGGGGGCCTTGGAATAAAAAAGGTTGATAACCACAGGAATAGATCCAAGTAAACTGAGGTATGCCATCTCTCACTTTCCTCAGGTATGCTCTAGTGGATTTTGGCCTGGCACAGGGCACTCCTGATACACGGATAGAACTGCTGAAGGTGGTGAAATCAAAATCTCATAAAGGTGGCGGGTCATCTACTAAGATGGTGGAGGAATCACTTGGGAAACCGAAACTTGTGCCTTTACCACCCAACACCAGAAACACTGCTCTCCAGTCCAGCACTAAAGCACCTGCTAAAAGACCATGCCCAGCTTCACGCATTAAACACAGCAAGGTGTCTGCACTGGTTTCTTTAAATAAATTAAGTTTTTAATATGATGATGGTTGTGTCAAATTAGGGGAATACTGTACTTCCAAGTTTACATACTTGTTTTGTTTTGGGGAAACTTATGTCACAACTTATGTCCTTCCTCTCAAAGGAACTGTTGGAACTTGATAATGCACCACGGTCTGTATTTGGGGAGAAAAACATAAATGGCACAAACTCTCATAAACCTGGCACTGACAAAGTTGAGGTTAGCATCTATTTTCACACTGGTTGCATCTTCACCTTCTGAATAACTATAAGCTCTTCACCTGTCAAATTGTATTTCAGGGACTGCTTTCAAAACCAAAACGAGAGGAATTAATTCCACGCAAGATTGTTTCTTCAAAACACCGTTCAGTACCAGTGAGAACAACACTGAATCAGAGACAAAAATCCCCCATTGAGAGTCAAAAACCCAAACCCCCTGCCGTCAGCCCGAGTCTCACCTGCAACTGCTACATGACTGACCGCATCTGCAACATCTGCTTGTCCAGGTACATGCTCTTAATCAAGTTACAGATTTTTATTTTTATAAAGCCTATTTTTAATCTTAATTAATATGCAAATTTCTAAGGCCTAGAAATTATCAAAACTATGCAGGAATATTTGCTGTTCTACACAATCTACTACATAATATTTTATACATTTTTAGCAAGTAAAAGTTATTTTAGTATAATTGTAAAAACCTTCAGGATGTGGTACCCTTTTAGCTGGGTACACTTTTAGGTCTTTTAGCTGTGCGATCTTTACTGATTTTTGTTTTTTAAGTAAATGTAGGCATAACTTTTATATTGTGTATATATAGTAGTTATATTGTATTTTATAGTAGTATTTCAAGATCCACACTTATTGGACTGAAGTAATTTAAGTTTACTTGATTATCTAAACATTGTGGATTATCCTCATTTTTTAGAAAAATCATGGCAACATTTTTTAGGTACACTTATTTGTACATCTCTCATTCATCATTGTCTTGCGTTGCATTATGTTTTGCCCCCCACAATAAAAAATGCGAACATTATTTTTTTAGATTTTGTCTAGTAATTCAATAAACTGCCATTTTAAAAAAAAATTCTGAATATTCTTTCATATGTCAGGCTTTACGGCATTAATTTAATAATGAGTGAAGAAAGCTTTGCTTTTCCTAGGA